CCATCTCCCCTGCCCCTCCTCCCCTCTTCCCTCCCTCCCCACATCCCAGCTCACACTCACACCTGACCGAACACTCACTCGTCACTCACAAACTTGTGGCCACTCCTCACACCACCATGTCTCTGGCCCCTCATCTCCACCCCTTTCTCTGCCTTGTTTTCCCTGGAGCTTGTCAGCAACTCATGTTTGGGTCGTATATTTGTCTATTTCTGTTGCTTATAACAAAATACTTGGAACTGGGTGATTTATAAAGAAAATGAAATTTATTGCTTACAGTTTCTGAGGCTGGGAAGTCCACAGTCCATCTGGTGGTGGTGACAGTGACCCAGGGGTCTCACATTGCAGGATGGTGGAAGCAGAGAGAGCAGAGAGAGCAAAAGAGACAGACAGACTCTCCTCTTCTTTTAAGGCCCTCAGAACCACGCTCTTGACCACCGTTACTAAGCCATTCACTACTGCAGGGTCCTACAATCCAGTCACCTCTCCAAGGCCCCACCTTTCAATGACCATAATAGGATTTCCCACCCTCTTAATGGTCACAGTGGGGGCTACATTTCTAATACATGAAACTCGGGGGACACAATTCAAGCTTCAATGAGTTTTGGGGGACACAGTTCAGTCCACTACAGGTAGTCATCTGTGTTGGTTATTGTGTGTGTGTGTTCATATGCAGCCTTTGGACAGGGATTTTCCTATTTATTCATTCCTTGGAAAGTGGTTGGCACATGTTAGGTGTGTTGAAGGAATAATTCATGTGTGATTAAGTATGTGCATATGCAAAGGCACATGCATGTAGTGTTGACATAAGCAGAGAAAGTGTAAGCGCAAGAGACCAAACACACCTGTTTTCTCTCCACCCTCACACCCTCTGTGTTTTTTAAATTAGTGTCATTCACTAATTTAGTCACCCATCCCACAAATATTTGTCGAGTGTCCGTGATCAGCCAGGTGGCCTTAGGTGCTCAGGATCCTAGGTGGCTCCCACTCTCAGAGACTTTGTTTCTCCCAGACTTTTTCCCTAGTCCTAGAGGTTGTCGTTGCTGTACCCACAATCCTGTAGCTTGCTCTTTTCATCTCTTGCCTGTCTTAACCCTCTTTGAGTGGCACGCCTCCGCATCAGCTCACCAAGGGATGTGGAGTGTGCTGGCCTCCTGCCGTCCACAGGCAGATGCTGTAGTCCAATGCCACTGCAACCACTGAGAGGACACCTGAGGTCCACCTTGGAGCCCAAATGTCCTGTCAGGGCAGTCGGTAGCCTGTGGATGTTCATACGATATAGGGCTGGACTTTTATTTCTTAATCTGTGTTCAACACTGAAATCGTTGAATGAAATCAGCTCCTGTGTGCTGAGATCTGGCGTAAATTCCCCCTGCACTCTGCTCATGTTCTGGCCTTGATGGCGAGACCATATAATGGCAGCAAGGAAAGAGAGAGCTTTAGTTCTGACAGTCTTTCCCTGGGCCTGGTGCTGAGACGCCATCAGGGGCAGGGCAGTGCAGAGGCTGTGCTGGCCTGTGGGGTAGCCACTGGGAGCTCCCATGTGGCCTCAGGGGCCAGATCTAATTCTTCAAAAACATCTGGAGAATCTTGCTTTTTCATTATTAGCAACAACTTTTTAAAAATTGAAAACTTATGTGGGCAACAAGACACATCAGAGGCCCCAGTTTGAGGCCTTTGGGTTGAGGTTTCTAGGCTCAGACACTCTGGGAGGATCTGGGGTTGTGTCCTGGGGGGGTGTCCGTGGTCAGAATCCTGCTCCTCGACCCTTCTTCCTGCCCGAGCTGTGCGTGTGTCTAGCAGAGGCTCCTCACACTTACATCCTCACCACATGGGGCTGGCCCATTGCTGGCCATGGGGCCCCTGTGCTCCCAGAGCACTAAGTGTGTGTTGTGTTTGTGTGCCTGTGGGTTTTGGTTTTTGATAGGATGGATTGAGTGGGTGTAGAGAGCAGAGGCTGGAGCTACAGGAAGACCCTTCCTTCTTCCCCGTTCCATGTGCCCAGACAGCCGTGGCTCCATCTGAGCGAAGAGCCGGAAAACCCCAATCCTGCCATCGCCAGCAATCACCTGCCTGCTATTTTGTGTTACCTGGTGAAAAACAGGCAGAACTGTGAATGTTCTTCAGCGCCAGCAGGCTGTGTGTGTCTGCAGCAGTTGAGACGGGTATGCAGATGTGCCGTTCCACAGGGCTAGAAACTTGCTCGTCCAGCCTTTGCAGGGGAGACCCTGGGCCGCGTCTGCCATCTGTGTGCTTCTGTGCTGTGCCGGAGAAGGACGCTTATGGCTTGAGTCCCCTTCTTTTGGGACTTTGCTGTGGTGGGTCTCCATGGTCTGCAGAGGGCATGGGGTCTGATCTCTTCTATGGCAAGTTTGCTCATGGTTTTTAATCTTTGCTCAAACGGGCCTGGAGGATGGCTGCTCTGGGCCATGCTGCTCAGACACAGATGCACAGCCCAGGAGACCCACAAGGGGTCATGGTGTTGCCCACCTGCCTTGCCTGCCCCTGCCTCAGCCCTTCACGCCTTCCCTTTAATGCATGACTCCTGGTGCTCATCACAACATCCATGTGTATTTTTATGTTGAATCGTGCGTTGTTCTCAGGTGTGTCATCATGTTCAGACGTGATTCATTCTTTCATCACGGTGTGCACTGGGCACAGACTCCAGCCAAGTCCAGCGTGGAGCAGGGAAGCCCTGCCCTGCTGAGCATGGGGTGTTGTTACGACCAGCTGCAGTGGTGTGGGGGCCGCAGCCAGCCCTGCCCAGACCTTGACCCTTCCACGGGAGGGGTGCTCTCTCTAGGTACGGGGTGTCTCTCAGAGGTATTGGAGTACTGTTTATGGGGTGGTACTGCCTCAGGGTTGTGGGCTGCTCTCTCAGAGGTATCAGCGTTTCAGAGAGGACTCCTGGGTGAGTGTGGCCATCTCCTGTGTGGGCTTTCTGTCACTTGGAGACTTCAGGAGGAGAGGTGTTTTCTCAGCACCTTACCTCCCACCTCCCCAGGTGCACAGTGCCCCAGGGGCCAGAGTCTGACAGCGTCTCTCAGTTATGCAGAGTCTCTGTTCAGATAGAAGCAGCTCTGTGAGAAAGGGACCCTCGGGGCCTGCGCATGTGTGTTTCACAGCAGGTCTGGGAGTGAGAAGAAGTGAGATCCAGTTTAACAGGAGGAGCTCAAGGGTCTTTCTAAGGAAAAGGAAAAGCCCAAACCTGAAGAAACGAGACCTCCCACAAACTCTGCTGCAACACACCTTTCCCTCGCCAGGCATACAAAGTGCGTGAACTGTTTAAGAGTGAACTCTGCCCTGCATCGCCGGCTTTCACGAGCTGGAGACAGAGAGCCCGAATGTGTGGTGAATCCGCTCATCTTGGAGCATGGCTGAGTGTCTGCGTGGACCTTTCGTTTGTGGAACTCGGGGTTTAGGTTGTATTTAAACCGGGAGCTGCAGCTTTATGGTTGAGTAACACCCTCTGCCCTGTTCCCGAGGAGACGCAGCCAACAGGCGCAGGGTTTGGAGGGCGCTCCTGGCACTTATGGGAAGGAAGTAGCCCTCTCCCAAAGCACTGCTTCAGGGGAGTTTTGAACCGTAAAATGTGGGAGTTCTGAGAAGCTTTTAGCTTTCTTGGCAGGACTGACTTGTTGGATATCATTCAGGACAAGAGCTGTGGTCTGTCTCAAAACTCTCCGCTAACTTCTATTGGGAACTCAGAACATCTTGCCCAGGCATGGCTAATTTTAGGTCAGGGCTTTTTCTTT